AATCACGTCAGCAGTGATGTTCTGTGGGTAGCACCTCAATGCATGTGAATTAAATGAATGTATTTTTATTGGGGGAAAAGTTTACTGACTTTGGCACTGACCTCGCTGACGATACAAATCTGGCTAAAGTGTAACAAAATCCTCTTTATATGTATACGTGTGTATCATCTCATGCACATCAACACACTGCAAGGGATCCAAATTAATACAAAAGAATTTAAAAGGCAAAAAGGCATGTTTGTTTCCTTCATTTACCCGCCAACACCACAACAACTGCCAATGGACCCTTTTCACAAGACTGCGATGGCGCGTTTAACATCATCAGCATCGTAAATCCTCGAAAGTTTTTCAAATTTGTATTTTTTTTTTTAAATGTATGTACATTTATAACACTATTATTTGTATTATATTACCTTTGCATCAAATTACAAAAAACTAGTTAATGCTAATGTGAGGGTGTTTCTAATACAGCGTCTATGGGACTGACGGTAAATTTGACATCGCTCTCCCTACTGACTGCCGTACTTCCGCTGCCGAGAAACCCGGAAATGTGAAAAAGGTCCATTAAATGCAAGGCAAGTTCAAACTTCCTGGAAAGACTATTGCTGTGTCCGAAATCGCTCCCTGTCCACTATATAGTGCACTACATCGGGTGTCAGCCATTTTGTAGTGCTGTCCGAATTCTGAGTGAACGACTTCATTCCCTACATTCGTTCACTACTTTTTACCCACAATGCATTCTGATTTCGACCAATGTACACTCGCTGAAGCACTATTTCCCACAATCCAATGTGGAGAACCAACGAGTTGGAAGAGAGAGCGGGAGCGAGCGAGTTTGAATGAGAGATGCCATTTACATCTTTATTATTTCTGGTTTACGTTTATTTCATGCATTATTTATATTAAAATATATAATGTAGGCATTAACTCAGTTTAATATTATATTAATTTACTGAGGTGGCATTTTTGTTAATTTACAAAAATTATAAAAATTTGGTGGATATTTAAAAATGTCCGTTGGTAGCGTATTCATTCTGATGTAAAATTAACGGTTGCCTGAGGGCGCTCTACGACCATTGGCATCTTAGTGCAAAACGCTGCTCGGGAGAGTTTCAAAATACTACAAACAATAACGTGTTAATGTGTGTTTATTTTTGTTGACAGTATTTTAATAGTATTTAATGATTATGAACAAAGCAATACAAAATAAATTAATAATATACCATCAATAAAACCACAAAGCTGACATGGAGGTATGCACAATTACAATATAAAGTTATTTTAAGTGTTATTGCTATTAATATTATTTTCTAAAATAAGGTACATGTAATATAAAAGTACATATGACGAAGATGTTTTTCACGCGCAGACACATCACCATCCGAATCCGTTCACTTCATTTCGTTCACTCCTTTCTGATATAGTCCACTCAACTGCCATACACTATATAGGGATTAGTGAATGAGTGAAAGAGTGAGCGATTTCAGACACAGCTAGAGATTATTTTACTATAGGGAGATGAGAGGGTCTGTATTACTCACTATTGGAGAAAGCGTAACGGCTAACTTGGATCACGTGTCCCTTAATAACCAATCACAATACAACCTTGACGTCATTGAATTTCAGTCGGAGTTGTACGACACTCAATCGCCATTTACGGATCCCATAGGAATGAATGAGAAGTGCCGAAAGCTGAACATCACCTGTCGCAAAAAGTCAGTGGCATTTTTTTCGTGGTAAACTCTAAAAATAGTTCAATCCAAAAGTATTGTTTAGTGTAAAACATGTTGAAGATTAGCAGATAGGCTGTCGATTCATTAAAGGATAAGCCGTTTCCTCTAAAAAGCTGTTTATTCAGCGTAGTGAAGCCTCTCATCCATTGACGTCCATTAAAAAAAAAACAACCTCTGGTCTCCTTTCTCACATACTGCCAGACCCGAAGCGTTAGCTTTAGCCATTACGCTTTTTCGGCTAATGGTTGCAGGCTTGCCTTCTAGTGGCTTTGACAGAATGTTGGGTGAAGCGGTCATAGCTGTGCTGTATTGTGAATAAAACACAGCTGCTGACAATCAGAATCGAGGAATAGGACTAACCATTTTATGTGTAATAAATGTCCCATGGCATTTTACTGTGGGAGAGGCTCTTTACACAGTCATATTTACAACAGCTAACATTTCCTTGATCAGAATATCATTTTTATTTCACTAGAGTGCGTTTGTAAGCATGGGAGTAGCTTTGGGGGGTGGGGTGGGGGTAAAGCATATTTAATGTATTATATTTCAACTCCAAAATAAATGATGCAACCAATTGAATACACTTTAAGTAGCTGATATGGGTAAGTAATAGCAATGTGGTGTTAAAATATAATGGCCAATAGTTTAGCAACAAATAATAAATGAACTGAACTCTACTTACCTCATTAAATATTTAAGTGCTTTGTACAGTCATAGAAATTTCTACATGCTGTATTTCTTTTCAGTTGGAGGGGGATCTAAATGTCAAATTGTGGCGGGAAATGTTTTAATTGGAGTGGAGAATATACAGTTTTTACCATTTAAATTTTACTATTTTGGTCCAAAAAGTCTGCTCAGGACAAAATGGATGGCACATTCAGCTATATATGATGCACAAAAGCAAGACAGGTCTCATAAACGTACAAAGTGAAAACCTGAATACCAATTATCATTGTCTGGATGTCTAGATACACCCATGTTTGTAACATGCTCATGCACTCATAAAAACTCATAAAACAGACCAGAAATTCAAGTTATATACTTTTGTCTGCTTCCTATTTTGAACAGTTTGAATGTTCTTTTACCAGCAATCTGGAAAACAACATCACGCTACCTGCTTATATCTTCAATGAACTTTTGAGGATCAAATTTGTGTCACATGTCTCCTGTTACATAGTTCACTGTGATTCACAATTACAAGAGCCCATGTCGGGCTAGATAAACAACAGCCAACAATTAAAGGGGCAGGCTCACATGAGACTCTGCTTTTTGTTCACAAAAGCTGTAAATGTTGCTTACCATATGCAAATTGTCACATATATATTGTCATTCCAGACATATACATGTATCCACCTTATTCGTGACGAGCCTATTACATTTTGAATTATGGGTGACACTTCCGGTTTGGGGAACTGCTATTCAAAAAGACTGAAATGAATCATGTTAAATCATAAGGTTACCCTACAAATAAAGCCGTCTGTTTGACTGAATGAGCTGTCAATTTTCATTCATGTTTTATTTTCAGATATCATGAGAATAACGTAAGGCTTGGTATTTTAGCGTGATATGTTATAACAAGAATATCTATGGCAAGAGCTCTTTTCAATTGCGGCATTCTTTTCCTCAATAAGTTGATTATTTACTTTTTACCCTTTGCATTCCGCTGTAATAGTATGAGAAAGGACAACATATACTGCACATATGCGGTCTGTTCTCCCAATTTAATTTAAGATATATCCCATGAATAATTCACTGGAATGCACGAAGAATCTCTTGTTTTTCTCCTCAAATTCTCACGTCTGTTTCCAGATTTGTTTGTTTTCACAGGTAAATACAATTTATTATCTGTCAAAATGACTGAAATCACTTTGAAATAGTATCATGCAATGAAGTTAATGAACATTTTGATTAAGGCAAGCATGTTACATTATACAGATTAGGTATGGGCCGATTACCGGTTTCAAGGTATACCGCAATTTGAAAATTTCATGGTTTCAAAACCACTAATATTTTCCGTTATACCGTTCCTGCGGTATGCGCTGTTTTTCATGTCTCCTCAAAGACTGAAAGTGTAGGAATCCCTCAGGTTGAGTTCAGTGTAGAGAGTAACACGACCCTCCTCCTCTTGTTGGTGCAAGCGCGGTCAGTCACGCGTGTGTAGGATGGCCGAACTTAAGGAGCTTCCCCTGGAACTTACGCGATCGGCAACCGGCCGTTTTTTGTCTTATTGCAGCTTGTCTCTGTTCTGGACTTGCACAAACTGCGTTGCATGTTCAGCGGAATTTTTTTTTTTTTTTTTACCCAGTCATTTTTAAAATAACACATTTTAGAGCTGTAACAACAACACCGTGATACCGTGAAACCGTGATGTTTTTGCTTAAGGTTATCATACCGTCAAAATCTCATACCGGCCCATGCCTAATACAGATATACATTACTACAGTGATATTTCACCCGTCCGTTATTGCTGTGGAAAGAATCGGGCTTTTGGGGTCATTCATGGTCTGTTGAAAGTATTTTGTTTATGCTTTCACACTTTTAAATGTCATTTTAATGTTCGATGGTTGAAGGGTGAGTAGAATAATGTCATCTCATTGTACCCAGTTAAAAAAAAAAAAAGATTATTGCGTTCATAGCGAGCATTTCATTGATTGTTTACAGCTTAACGGAAGTTACACCCATAGTTCGCGTAAAGCGTAATGGGGCGTAAGAATAAAGTGCATTCAGTGAAACAAATTACACAGGCCTGCAGTGCTTTTGTCGCGTTGCGTCGCTCGCGTCCAGTTTAGACATGGTGTAAGCTTAGTTGTCAGTTGTAAGTTCGGAAATTACCACGTAAGAAAATGAAACTTCTATACCTTAAAAAAAAAAGTGTTATAGTTTTACAAATATAACTATATTATAGTAATTAATGTATTTTAGCAAAAACTACTATTGCCATGGTTACCGAAAACCACAAAAGCAAGTGAACCAAGGGGGTCAAGGATAAAATTGTCTCATAAAAGCCAGTTATCATTTACTCACCCTCATGTTAGGGACTGACAGCCTCGGGCACTATTCAAGGCATCTTTTTTTCCTCTAATAAGACTGAATGGTGACTGAGACTGTCATTCTGCCAGACATCTCCCTCTGTTTTCCACAGAACAAAGAAAGCCATACGCGTTTGAAACAACATAAGGGTGAGTAATATGACATACTTTTGATTTCTAGCTAAACTATGCCTATATATCATCGCGTCGCATAGGTTGATACGATAATTCACGTTACCTGACCGGTAATGCCTGTAATGATGGCCACTTTCCTCTTCGTCTTGCTGTCTCCGTTCACATCACCACTGGCCGCCGCCGCTGCTGCACATTGAGCCATCGTCTGGAGCTGGTTTCGGTTCGGAGTGTGTCTGTGGGGTCTGGTTCCACTGTGCGCGATCGTTTGTCATGAACAGATGCAAACACATCCGAAACTCCAGCTGCTTGAGCGACACATCAGGAACCTGCACTCAGCAGCCAATCACAGAGCAGAGCGCCTGTGACGTACGCACCACAGAATAAAGAGGAGAGAAATCCTGTTGGCTTGGGGATGTAAATGTGTCACAGCGCCCACTAAAGGAATCGAGGTTCAGGAGGATTTAAACAAACCACTTTTTTACTTTCTCCCTTTATTATTACATATCTAATATAATAATTATTATCGTTATATAATATGCCTACATTTCATAGTAAATCCTAGGCTAGGCCTAAATCACAGCTGAAAAACAGCTTCAACTAGTCAAGGCTGTTTTGCTGGTCTCCCAGTCTTGTCAAGCTGGTCTGTTGGCTGGTTTAGGGTTTTTTTTAGGGTCACATATCATTCTTACTGTACATGATGTTTTTTGCGCCACAGCCATAGATCAAGGCTTTGAACCACTGATGTAATTTTGAATATTTCATGTGTGGAAAAAAATATGCAAACAATTAAAGTGAGAGGAGGAACTCAGGATTATGTGCATTTACAAGAAAATGACTTAAATGCTGTTTCTCCAAGAATAGATAAAATGAATGAACCAGTCAATCAAATGTTTGTTCAAAATATATTTTAATTTAGATAATATTTAAAGTTCTAAGGCACGTACACCATATAAGGCACTTACAACAAAACATCTTTTAAATAATGTACAAGTACTAATATATGAAAGTACTGACATGCTTTTATTTTTCCTAGTAGTTTATGAGCTATTATATTTCAGCATTCCTCAATCCAGTCATCGCATATATAGAAACTGAAATCAAAACATAAAAATAAACAAATCTTTTATTAATGCTTACACATCAAAAAGTGATAGTCCTGGTTTTTCAGCTTTCACTTAGAATCCTAGTGTCTAAAAGCACTAATTTGTTAGCCATAAGCTGACATACAGTACATTTCACCCCATTTATTATATTGTGAAAGCATTTCAAGTAAACATCAGTGAAAGGTGATCAAAGCAACAGTATCTTTATATTTAGAACCACACAAAAACACACAATACATTTGAAGGTAGTGTTCCGTTTTTTTTTTTTCTTTCTTTTTTCAATTGCCTTCATGGAAGGTGAGATGTCTACAACAAAGAGAAGGAGTGAGCAAGACCATATAATCGCCTAAAACAGCCAGTCTTGAAGCCAATGTCCCAGTCTCCAATTTCCAGCTTAAAAAAATCGAAAACAAAAATACAATAAAGTGTGAGGTCAGCAACATTAGCTAAGCATTTGGAGCTCATGATTCTGAATAACTCATTTTGCACAATACATTTGCCCTAAGGGAAACCCTCTGAATGACATTATTGAATAAAATGTGGTAAGTGAGAGCTGAATTTGGGTCATGGCTATTTGTATCAGATAACAGTAGCTACATGCACACAAACAAACTCCAAACTCTGACACTTAGACTTCTTGAAAATCAACAGAAAAGACATAACATTCAAAATGATAGATTATTTGCAGGATTTTGACATTAAGGGTGCTAGATTTTCAAGTGTAAAATACAGTACAGTTTCTTTTGTGAATTCTAATGCCTTCATAAATATTATGCAAATGCAATGTTACCATAAACCAATGATGTACAGAATATTACCATGATAAGACTCAATACATTTGTGCGTATAGAGTATGAATGATGATTTCTGTTGCACTCTTAGTCATTCACATACTTTCTCCAGTCCTGGCCTATTATAAAGTGCACATACAAGACCAAATCCCTGTAGAATTAAGTGTATGTAGTAATTTTTCATAAGACGACAGCCAGCAGTTAAAACCCACTTAAACCAGGACTGGAGCACAGAGCAAGTTCATCACAGAGCCATAAATGTTACCATTTTACAAAATGGTGAAATATTCTTGTGGAGAGCTGTACTTTTAATGTGTTGTATGCTGTTTTAGCTTAAAGTTGAGGTAAGAAGTTAATAAACATTTTAAAGTCAGTATTTGACTGTAATATTGAACAGATGTTGCATAGTTGTTCAGATACAACTGTATTGGTCCAGTGTGTCACCAAGGCACCAGGAGAGCCAATGATCACTTCTGCAGAAAACATGAAGTCAAGGATAGGAGAACTAAATGTTAATTACTTTTTAACATTTAAAGGGACAGTCCACCAAAAAAAATTAAATTCTGTCATCATTTAATTAATAATAATAATTCATTTTATTTATGGGCGCCTTTCAAGACACTCAAGGTCACCTTACAATAATAAAATACAGCTGAAGAAAAAAAAAATTTGATGTACGCTCCCTCATGATTCATTTCTTCTGCAGATCATAAAAGAAGATCTTTTAAAGAATGTTGGAATACAAAATACAATGGAAGTCAGTGGGAACTGAAACTGTTACCAACATTCTTTGAAATATCTTCTTTTGTGTTCCGAAGAAGAAAGGCATACAGGTTTGGAACGACATGAGTGTGAGTAAATGATGACAGAATTGTCATTTTATTTCATGTTATGCATCTTACCTGTTTATCCCTCTGGAGGAGGAGCACGTGAAGAGTGACACTTGTTTTTCTGTGAGAGAAACAGGTTCATTAATTCTTAATTAATTAAGTCACTACTGCACTCATTTAGTCACAAGCTCAAAGCTGTTATTAACCTTATGGTGCAGATGGTAGTGAAGGGCTCGGTCTGAAAGCCATGGGTGTTTCAGGGACTGGGATGCACTCATTCTCCAACTGCACAAAAAATACATAAATAAATAAACATGCATCAAAACACAAACATACTGGTAACATTTCAGAATCAAAAAAGGAGGATTTGTCAAATTTAGCCAACTTTTGGGGACACACAAACCTTTTGCTCTTCACAAGCAGGCGTGAGATGAAGTCTTTGGCCTCCTCAGAGATGTCGGCAAATTCAGCCTCTTCAAAACTCCACTGACATGCCAGGATGTTATTTAGTGTCTCATTATCATCCTCACCCAGGAACGGAGACAAGCCACTGAGCCTACACACGCAAACACAAGTTTTACAAAATTCTCTCCTTTTGGTATTATGATTGTTCATTGATATCTATGGACTCACAGCATGTAAGTGATGACACCTAAACTCCACATATCAGTTGGGAATGAGACAAATTCATAGTTGATGACTTCAGGAGCCAGGAACTCAGGTGTACCAAAGTTCACCCTCAACTTTTCCCTAGGTTTATATCTGAAAGGAAGATGAAGAACAAATCGGCGTGAGAGAAACAGTAGATTCATGAAGACAGGCAGAAAGAAAGCAAGTGTAAACACAGACACAGAAACAAATACTAACCTCCTTGCGAGCCCAAAGTCAATTATCTTCACCTTGTTTGTTTGTCGACTGACACAGAGAATGTTTTCAGGCTGTTGACACAGTAAACACAGGGATTTCAAACTTCTTGTTCTTTTCATGAAGCTGTTCAAATGCATATTATTAACAAGAATGTGTTTGGCACCTTAAGGTCAAGGTGTAATATGTACATCTTGTGCATATGCTGAAGCCCTTCACTGATCTGTCTGATGAACAGCACTGTGTCCAACTCGGTCAGCTTGTAGTTCTCATCTATGATCCGGTCAAACAGCTCTCCGCCATCAACACTAGGGGGTACATAGGGAACACAAAATACACATAGCATGAATGAGATTTACTTAGTGAGATAGGATGTCTGTGTGTGAAACTTCAGTGTGTTTGTGGATGTAACTTACTACTCCATCACTAGAATGATTTCATGTCGAGATTCAAAGGCGGCGTAGAGCTGGATCAGATTGGCATGGTTCAACTGGTTCATCACTTCAATCTCACACTTCACTACCTCCTGACAACACAAACGTGTATGAAAATCAATAATTAATTCCAATACATTTATAATAGTCTTAAAGCAGTGGTTCGAAGACCAGCGCTGTTATTAACTATAGACTAACTAAACTAAATGAAAACTATGAAAAAAATTTTAATAAACGTAAAGCTGAAATAAAATACAATATTTATACAATTTTAACAACTAGACAATTAGATAATTACTAAAAGTGAAATAACTTAAATAAATAGAAATATAAAAAAATAATAAAAAAGACAAAATCACATAACCACATTACTAAAACGTAAACTAAAATTAAAATTGAAAATACAAAAACAAAACCTAATTCAAAATATTAATAAATACTATAATAATATTTACATAATACTAAAATATCACTGTTGTGGGCCACAAAGTGTTCCATAAGTTGATTGGCTGATTTAAAAAAATAATAATTAAAACCACTACCTTAAAGTCATAGTAATGACATCTTAAAGGGGTCATATGATGCTGCTAAAAAGAACATTATTTTGTGTATTTGGTGTAATGAAATGTGTTTATGC